CTTCGCTTTTTGCAGGCAAGGACTTAGCTGGCTGTGACCGTGATTAACCTGATGCTCTTTCTTAAGGTCTATAGCCAGAGAGAGGGGTGTGGACTTCAATGAAGTATTCTCTCCTGTTGTGAAAGACAGCTCTATTTGTGTCTTGCTTGCCATGGACCATGGTTGCACTCTTTTGATGGGCAATTGCGAAAAAGAGATTGATTTTTATATTGATAAGAGATATCGTTCCTATAATTCTTCCTATGGCTATTTCCGATCCCAAGAATACGATGTTGTTTCAATACTATTATCTTCCCTTCCTCCTAGCTGCCACCTTAGTTGTTTTAGTTGCACCTTTGATTTAGCATAGGGAAGGTGGAAGCTCTATAGGACAAGTGCTTGGGGCTATTTTGAAGCTATGCTATATAGGAAGAGATAGCGGCGGCTGGCTAGTAGCTTTGCTTTTGTTATTAGCTCCTGCTAGCGCTAGTAGTTAGCTTTAGGAGCCATTTTCAAGAGGTAGAATAGCAAAATAGCGCTGCTTTAGTAGTTGTGTACAACCAAGCCGGCAACGCAAGTAAGTTGCCCTTTTTTTTTTTTTTTTTTTTTTTTTTTCCTCCTTTGGCTTATATCTCAAGCTATACATCTGCCAAAAAGGTAAGGAAAAAATACATTGTCTGGGGTTTACGGTTTAGGGAAAAATAAATGCATTGTCTGGTCCTTTGATAATTCAATGATCACTGCACGTCCTGCGGTCCATTTCCAAAGAGTAATGATAACAAAAAGCCGACAGATTCATGTATTTTCAGACATTTTTTGTTCTGGGAAATGGATCTAATCCAATTTTTGTAAGCTGATCTATAAGATTATCTGGCATTGAATGCATGGCAGCATACCTGTTGAGTTCCAGGTGAAGGACTCACAGAAAACTGTTGGAAGTTATGGTTTCACGATTAGTCTTGTGAGTTTATCCTTATTCCAAACTTTGTATTAAGCAATTTCAATTTGGAAGCGAAGAGTTCTTTTTCTTGTTTTTTAATCACCAGTGGTCATGCACGAGATTTTAACCTAATATCTCCTCTAACAAAGTTAGAAAGTGAAAATTGCGTGCCACTAAACTAAACGAATATGGATAATTGAAGAGTTAATCAGATGATAACCACACCATTTTTCTCTCATGCACACCTGTGTTTAATCATTTCATTGTTTCCGTTTAATTTATATTCAATCTAATAGCCATAAATCAAAAGAAGTGTGTATAACAAGAAAAATAGTGTGAGAAGAGAATTGATTTATGCACTCCCTTTGAACCATCTACACTTCCTTCTTGTTGCTAGCCACTAAATTGAATAATAAAAGGAAAACTAAAGGACATTATTGTTAACTCATTATGAGACTTATCTCACTCCTACACTAAATTAAATAATATCGTTTGTTAAAAAAAAAAATTGAAAACTGAAGGACGAAATTTTAAAAAAGTGCAGCAGGTGTTCTTCTCCGTAATTATTGCATAGGAATGTAATTTCTCATTGTAGTTAGTGTGGGATTCCTACCAACTCTGTATATATTGTACTAATACCACTAGACTATAGTCCTAAGGGACACTATTTTCATATGTTAATACAACGAGACATAATTTTACATGGTGTCCCTCATCTTGGTTTTCTCTTAGGTCTAGGTTTTTCTTTTCTTATGGCATCGTCTTCTTCCTCCCTACCGGCCAAAACACTGCAACCTTCCTTCAACTTTCTTTAAACTTTCTACCATCAAATACATTGTGAGGGTTCGTCAACTCAAAGCCTTTGGTCACGATCTCTTGAAATATGTAGAATGTTCTTCTCCTCTCCCCACCCATCATTGCCAATCGTAAATACCTCGACGTCTGTCCTCTCTCTCTCCCCATAAAACAACTCTTGTAGAAAAGGAAATTTTTTTTCAGTGTGTCATAAGTGGTTGGATACTTAAAATTTTTTTTTAACAATTTGAATTCTGATACTTGGTGTAGTGGGACGTGATACCGGCACATTGAAAAGTTTCTCGTAGAATAGGGTTCATTTTTCGTTGTGTGCTGCTTTTGTACATTTGTGGTTGGTGCGAGCTCATGAGCTTTGTATCTTGGATTCTTGTGGTTCTTATTTTATTGCATAAATATATTACTTGTTATTTTTAATGCCCACCCGTGCAATTAACTCTAGATCATGTGTGTGTCCTTAACCTAGGATCGCAACTGCTCAACCCAATGATTTGAATTTTTTAATCTCTAATTATTTCTTTTGTGTTTTTAATGCTGTATTAACTAATGAATTAGAAATTGTATGGATGTTGGGTGGATTATGGCCTAAAAGCTGTAGAGCAGAAAACCAGCATGCAGGGACCGACCTTACATGCGTGAACAGATAAATATATTAGATTACAGCTAATTAACATATTAGATTCACATTATCCATTCATTACCCACATGCTTTCTTTGGTTTGTTTGTCCGTCTACATCGAGACATGATACAAGGAGGACGAGTTCATTACTATCGTAGCGTTCCGAGCCGCTAAAACAATGCGACATGAAGAGAGACATCATCTTGTATTAGTGGTCGAAAACGATAAGATACAGTAAATCCGTTCCACCTATGTTTTTCTAAAAAAGACTCTTAAGCCTTCACCCTTTTATCATTTGTTAAATCTTTCCGCAGAAATCATCCTTAAAACTTCATTAAAAAAAAATAAAAAATAAAAATTTATCCTTAAACCCCGACAATTCATTCCTCGACTTAATTCCTTTTTAATCTTCTTCCGCCGGAGCTTAATTCGGAATGCTGAAGCTCCACTTCCGGGGTGGGAAAATGGGGATTTAAACAATATTTGCTCCAACGGGGAAGCTACATAGGGCTCCCCCTCTTTTAAGAAGTGAAAAAAATGTGTAAATCTACATTATATTTAGTCACTCCCTTGTTGAACACGAATATTGACAAAGTGCTAAAAGTGATGGTAACGCGAGAGGAATTCTTTTTGAATATTTTAGTGGGATTCCTTGTGAGTACATACCGTCCTATGAATAGGAACAAAGAGCGCTAAAAGCGATAGTAACATGAGGAATTCCCTTCGAGAATCGAAGTGGGATTGCATGTGAGCACAATTCCAATGCGACTCAGATCTCAACCGTCCTACGAATAGCAACAAAGAGCGCTAAAAGAGATAGTAACTCAAGAGGAATCCCTCCTGTGAGTTGAAGTGAGATTGCAAGCGAGCACAATTCCAATGCAACTCAAATTCCAACCATCCTATGAATAGTAACAAAGAGAGCTAAAAACGATGGTAACTCGGGAGGAATTCTTTTAAAAAATCGAAGTGGGATTGCATGCGATCACAACTCCAATGCAACTCAAATTCTAACCATCCATCTTTTAGGTTTCTTTTCAAATATTATCCTGCAAAAAAATAATCGAAAACTATTGATTCTTATATGGGATCAAAAAACAATAAGGGGGGCTCTCCATACTTGCATTCACTTTCTATTGCAGTGTCACCATCTCAGTAGAAGCTAGCTAGTAGGTGTTTTATCTTGAAGGAAAAAAAAATAAAAAAATAAAAAAAAAGGGAAATTTCCAGCTAGGGAGTCTCAAAAGGTTTTTGTTAGGCACTGAGATTTACAGTGGGTAGAGAGGAAAGGGGACCATTATAGACAGATGGGCAAGTACCAGAATTTTGGTGGTATCCATCTGTGTACTCTCTTTTCATAATTGAGAGTTTTTGTGATCATCCCAATACCCTCCCTTTCATGGCTCCCTCCTGCAGATGTACTCCACTTAACCCACTTGGTCTTTACCCTGCTCATTCTATATCACATAGACCATGACCCTTAGATTCCTTCAAAGCATGGACACACCCTTGTGTCAAAACTCAAATGTAATTTTGAAGGGAGACTTACCTACACCGGTTAAGTCTCCAGGGGCGTACGGCTTTGACAATGTCTCAAACTAATGATTCAGTGTTATGTGAGAAAGTTGAAATGCATAACTTTGTGTTACTGGTTTGGGATATTAACATAGGTCGTGTGCAGTGTAGGTAAGCCGTTCCAGTGATTTTAAAGGAACAACCTTTACTAAGGTGGCTATCACATCGGATGTGTCCAGTGTGAAATCCAGTGATATCAGAATACAAGGGGTCACCTGTTTTTATGAATGGTGCCCCTACAGATGATGCAGTCAGACACCCTACCCAAGTCAGTTGAACCAAACTAAGCTAGTTGAACTAAAATTCTACCAGTTGAGGTAAATAAAAAAAAAAAGGGATTCAATGTAGGTAAAAAGGTTGACAGTTATTCTTGTTGGAGTCAAAGTGCAGACAGGACCACGTTCAGCTCACACTCAATTGGGTAAATGTGGTTTCAAGATTCATCAAATTATGCTATCACTTTCACACAAACAAGAGCTGTTTTAGCCATTTCAAAATCCTAGCCTCCACATTCAAATTTTACTCCTTATATGCTGCAATGCCAAAGGAGAGCAATATGGAGCTAAAAGGGAAAACCCTGCTTAAGTTGGGAATTTACCAAATATTGCATCTTTGGGAAGAAAATGGACTTAAACAACAAGCTATTAGTCTACTCCATCCCCAACAATTTCTACTGTTTATGGAAAATGACTTCTGTTCCGTCTTCGGAAACCAGGACAGAGACTTGCATGAAGCGAAAGGAAGGGAAAGGAAAGGATAGAGATGGAAAAGCCAATACTTTCTGCTTCAATTTGTTTTTGAAGGTTTGAGGCAAGCTGCTGAGGACTATGTACCCCTTCACGCAAAAGTAGTAAAGAGCAAAAGAATGACAAAGGGAACTACAGACTCTTTCTCCCAGTGAAGTTTACTATTTCCAAATGAGATGAAGAAAAAAGACCCCAATTCCCTCTTCTGTGCTTCTCTTTCATTTCTGAAATAAAAGAGGCTAAAATCTGCCAACTTCCTATATTGGGTGATCTGGGGTTCTCTCAAACTTTCGGAAGAATTCAGAATTTGGGGGCTCGCGTTTGTGCTAATGTATCAAAACACAGAACTTCCATTTAACTCTAGGAATGAAACAAGTCAAATTTAGCAACATACTGCTAGTCTAGCAACAGAAACACAAATCCAACATAGAGCAAGCAAAAAGTTTGAGCTTTGAGAGCTCATCTCAAACATGAAAACAGAGCTTTTAAAACAAGAAGCAACAAACTGATGAAATAAAAGCTAAAACGAACCGAGGGATCAATAAAAACCCGAAATGCACTCAGATTTCTTCATCCCAAGGCGCACGCCATTGAACAAAGCGACCGAAAAATCGTCTCCTGGCCATATATGAATTGGGAACCAACAGGTAGCTCTTGTAATATCTCTGTGGAAGGCAGAGATGAGATGAGAGCTTGAGCCCTGCAATAACACAAACCAACACAACAAGCTAAAAATGTGAAAATTCATCCAAAACAAGCAAAACGGGCTCGAAAAACAGAACCAAAATTTGCAAAGGTAGCACCTTTTGAAGAGAAGCTCAGTCTATTTCTTTTGGTTCAATGGCGAGAATTGGAGGAAGCAGAGGACGGCTTGTCGGAAGTACCGTCGTGCTCCTCCTCGCCGTGAATTCGTGCAGGGATGTGGAACCCGGAGAATCCGCCTCCGGAGGCGAATCCCATGCCGGAAATGGACTGTTGATGATGAATGGATTGCGAGATTTGATGATGATGGTCGTGAGAAATGGATTGTTGGTTTTGCTGGTCCATCATCCAAGCACGAACTGACGGCGAGTTACTGGACTGAAGGGGTCCCCTCTGAGAAAAGAACTGACTTTGGCCGAACAACGACTGCTGCTGCTGTTGCAAAGGACTAGTACTACCCTGCTGTGTTGGTAGCAGCGAATTGAATATAAACCCGCCTGCCGACGATGGTCCGCCGTTACCACCGCTATCTCCGCCACCGCTGTTCCAAGCCACCATTCTCTGGTATCTGTTCATCTCTTGCTGCTGCTGGTTGTGGTGATGCTCTGCCCACGAGCCGGAGGTCCCATCAAACCCGAGCTGGTTTTGGGATCCGGAGAAAAGGGTTTGCTCGTTTTGGTGGGTCTGAGCGTGGTGGTGCTGATTTTGGGAGTCGTGGTGGTGGAGGAGAATTGGGTCTTGGAAGGACTGCAGGGAGAGGCGCAGATCTTGGCTTTGGCTGCTGGCTTTAGAGAGCAAATCAGGTGGGTAGTTCTGATGGAACTGTATCGTCGACGACGGAGCCTCGGCGGCAGCTGTGGCCTCGGAAGCACCCATTGGGAAAAAGGACTTGATGGTGTCTGCAATGGCGTCCGAGTCGAGCGACGGTGGGAGGAAAGTCGAGTTGCTATTTGGGTTCTGAGCAAATTGCTGCTCCGAAACTCCACTCCCCACCATTGTTCTTCGATTAGCAGACCCAATTGCGTCCACTGCCGCGAAGCAGTGGATGCCGGTGGCGGACGGGTTCTGGGTCTCCATGGCTGGAACCGCCGCGGTGGTCGAAATCGAATGTGGGTTCCATGAGGGAAGCTCCTCGAGCTCGTCTATGGCGGCCTTGGCCTTCTTGATTAGCCAATCGACGGCCTTGCTGGGTCGGTCGTAGCCGAGCCGGTCCTGGACGTCGTAGAATTGAATGGCGGTGTGAGCGGCGAGCCGGACGCGGCGGTCCCTCGGGCCTTTTGCCGTGCAAACCTTGCTGTGCCTGTCCTTCCGGCCCGTCGCCCGGACAATGTGGCTGCCTCGTACCACCTCCACGATGTCGGTGCCGACTCCTCCGCCGGATGACGGCGGCCTTATCCCCAGGCGAGACGACGTGGTTGCTTGGTGGTTGTTGAGGTGGTGGTGGTGGGAATCTTCCATTTTTGATCTTGCATATTCGATGCTCTGTTCCACCAAAGTTGAAGAAGAAGAAGAAGTACAGCTGCGTTTCTTTGGAGCTCTCTGCTGGGTTTGCTGCTGGGTTTCTCCAAAGAAATGCTGGTGCTCCTGCTGGGTATGTGGGTCTTGGTGGAGATACGGAAAGTTGAAAGCTTGGTGGTGATTCTGCTGGGTTTGTTGCTGGGTTTCTTCTTCTTCTTCTTGGACAAGATGGGTAAAATTGAGAATTGGGTTTTGGTGGAGATAATGGTGGTGGTGATTCCTTTGAGGATCCAGAGTCAGACCCTTGTGATTTTCCTCTTCCAGTTTTTAATGGAACAGTACAACTGCTTCTGCTTCTACAAACAAGTACTTTTGCTAATAGACTTTTTTTTTTGCTAGTGGTCTGTCTTTGCTTGTGTGATCTCCTGATGCTTGTGCTGCCACCTCCCCTCTGAGCCCTGAAACTGCTTCTGCTTTTCCTGGTTCGGCTTCTTCTGCTTCTGGCTCTCCGAAAAGGCTCTGCCATTCAATGTTTTCAGTTCCATATCACAAACTACCCCACCACCACCACCAATTTTTTCCAAAAGGGTCCTCCCGTAATTAAAACCCAAACCAGACTAAAAGAGAGAGGCTAAACCGGCTACCTTGCCAGCCTAACCCATCTCTCTCTCTCTCTCTCTCTCTCTCTCTCTCTCTCTCTACTTTTGGTATTTGTGCCTCTTAATTATGCACTTGCTTCTTCAGCTCTATTATGTGGACTGACTGACTTGACCTAATTACCAAAACTGGTTATGGGGGTTAATAATACCCAGCAGAGCAGGCAAACCCAACAACAAGAAGACCAAATCCCAAATTCTAGAGAGAGAAAGTGGAAAATTGGGGGGAATTAAAGGGAGAAGAGGAGTGAAATATACAGTTTAATTGGTATCCTCCTACAGGTATAGGGGGAGTTTATGATGGCAGTGGTAAGGGTGGCAGTGTTGGTCAGAAAGAGGATTAAAGATCTATGTGAACCCATCATTGCGTCTTCTCTCTCTACTGTAGATCTACACCTCCTCCACCACACTACTACTAGTTTCACTCTCTACATACAACTACACAAAATACAGGAAAGAAAAAGACCAAACTTTATTGTTTTGGGTTTTCTCCATTTATTTCAATCAGTCAGCTCCAAAATTTGACTCCTTCCCTTATTTACCCTTTTCTTTAACTCTCCTATGGTATATTAATATTTTTCATTCATGTGGAAGTACAATTGTCCAAATTTGACTCACATAAATAGCGTATTCGAAACCTAAGCGTTATGGTTGATGTATTATGTAGGTTAGGCAAATACCCCCATTTAGAATAGAATGTCATTGTATAAACAAAAAACACTTCTCTACGAAGGAAAACACTTTAGTTGGGGCGAATAACATAGTTTTTACAGTAATTAATTGGAATGTTCAGTTTTTAAGAGTTGGTTGAAACAATGATCAGTTTTTACACATTGTCATTATGTCATCGTTGTGTGATTGTTATGTCGTCGATATGTAGGCATAACTAAAAAATGATCATTTCTACAACCAAATGTCAAAAATTGATCATGCCAGCTAATTACCCTAATTTTTAAGACACCTCTCACAAAGATATGAGCCTTACTATGTTTTGCTTTCATCTTGATCGATAGACTTATACACACCTTGTAACACCAATAGTATAATCATGTGAGAAAATTAAAATATATAGCATTGCGTCGTGTAAGTACTTAATACACATGTCTAGTTCAAGAATTGACCTGATCAGACAAACATATCGAAGTTTCTATCCCATAACCTCTCTAGCGGTTGTTTTAATTTTCAGGTTTTACTTGGTGGACACAAGTTTTTTTTTTTATCATTTTTTTTGAACAAATGATATTATCTACATTAAGGGAGAGAGGGTGAGCTTAGCCTTATAATAAGCTAGTAATAATGTGGCTCAAACTCGTCTTTATTGAGTATCGAATCTAAGATCTCACACTTACAAATAAAGAGAAATATTACTAGACTGTAGTACTAAATGACATGGTGGACAAGTTAGAACCGTTGGTTTGAGGTCGAGGGCACTCAGTGTCTGCACGATGCTTTGGTAGATTAGATCCTTTACATGCCACCATCCACGCCTTCTGAAAGTGACCCCCTTTCCACCTTTTTATGTTCTCTCTCTCTCTTCTTTTGAAAGAAGGTTAAGCAAAAGCAACAACGTCATATTTTTCTGTTTTTTCTTTCGTTTGCTAAGTTTCCATGTCCTTTACTGATTACTTTACAATTTAGGTGGTGTTTTTGGAAACTGTCTTTTCTTTTTTTCTCATAGTACTCTTTTGACAATTTAATGTAATCTTGTATGGATCAAAAGATTTTAGTTTATAAAAATAGCATCTTTAGTGAAAAATAAAGATAGTATAAAAGTAACATAAGCAAAAAATCATGTTTATATTTCTTTCAACCTTGCAATGCTAGCAAAAATTGGATGGAGGCTTATACTTGATCCGGAGTCGTCACTCCTTGCCCAACTCTTAAAATCAAAATCTTTCCAAATTCATCTCTCTTAGAGGTTTCTCGCGGGTGATATACGTCGTGGGGTGGAAAGAGATATTTCAAGGACGGAAAATTATAACTGCTGGAGTTAGATGGAGAGTGGGTGATGAAAGACACATCAGGGTAAAACATGACCCATATGACTGCCTATGCCCCGAACTGTTAAGCCTATTTCGCGTTATGATGAGATGCCAGAAAGAGTGGTGGAGTTACTTGATAGAAGAATCGGAGGATGGAGAACAAATGTTGTTGATAGATGCTTTGAAGTGGATGAACACGCATAATCTTGAGCATGCCACTAATTAAGTTTGGTGTGTAGGTAAATTAATTTGGCACTATACGAACAATGAAACTTACTCCATCAGGTCTGGCTATAAAGTAGCACATGAACTAAGTTGCAATGGGAAATTAGGGAGGAAAGGTAGGGCGAATCGAGTGCGGGGCGGGCAGGACATAAGGTGTGGTCAGCTATGTGGCTATGTGGAAGTTTGATGTTCCCCAGAAGTTGCGCCATTTTGTTTGGCAAAGTTACATGAATGTGTAGGCAGTTAGGGTCAACCTTCGGAATTCGACTTGAGACATCTTGTCCCAACTGTGGTGTGGAGGAGGAGTCGCAGTGTCATTTGTTTTTTCAGTGCCCATATGCGAAGGTATTTTGGTTTGGGAGTCAAATTCAGCTTGATTCTAATATGGTGCAGGGAGTGGATTTTCGTGAGTGTTGAAAATGGCTCCTTAAACGCTATGAGCGGGAGAGGGAACCTGGTGAGTTTTTTTGAGAAGAAAAGTGTCGAACTCATGGTTGCAGTGATGACGTTGCAACAGCAATGGGGAGAGTAGGAAGATATGAAACAAAGGCAAGAGGTGCGGGTGGATGAAGTGAGGCTTCCAGTTCGGTAGCAGCCTCTATTCTCACCTGCTGGGAGCGACCGCCTTTTCGTGTTATTAAGGTGAACTGTGAGGAGCGTGGCGTAAGAGGAGAAGTGGTTTTGGATGGGTGGCAAGGGATTTTATAGATGAGACCGTTTTGAGTCGGAGTAGTTTTATACTTTGACCTCTAATGTAAACATTTATATTTGAATTCAATTAAATTTTCTATCCTTCGATTTTTTTTATTTTTTATATTATGCTATTGAACCCTGCAATGATTGCCATTGTAAAAAAAAGTTGAACGTGACAAGAGATTTTAGACTAAATTTTTTATAAATGATAATTTTGATGGATTGAAAAATATGGATATCTCGAAAATTTACATTGTTTCTCTCAAAAAAAAAAAAAAAGTGCAGTCCTAAGTTATAAAAGACTTGCGCATGCTTATTGCATTGTTACGTGCATACGAGTGTATAAATAAGCTCGATGAGAGTTTTCTTCTAAATTTTTTGGATGTCCACAAATAATTCATGCTTTCGTAAGGATTATTATTAATATTTTGCTTCTGTTTTCTTTTTTCACAAGAAAAATATGATATAAAATAAATGATATATATGTTTAATTTCTAGAAAGAAAATTGTTCTCTTTAAGAGAATGGTTTTCTTACTTTATTTCTTAATTTTAACACACAATTTTCCTTTAGTTATGTGAGAGGATGATATAGACAATTAGACATCAACATTTTTCTGTTTACCATTTTACCAGCAGTAGGAAACCTAATCAAGAAGTGGTGCTGATTAGGGACATAACATCATGCCAGTTCGACCACTGATCACCAACCCTAATCAAGGTTGTTACTTAGGGTACATTAAATTTATTTATTTCTGAGTCCTCATCATGCTTCATTCTTCAAACTTGTCTTAAAACTGGCTTTTCCAAGTTTGATTGGCTGCAACAATTCAAGGCAAAATGATCATGACATTTCTTTACTAAAAGTGCTTAGATTGAACCATAACATGGAGTGACCTCAGTAAACTTTTACAATGTTTTTTAATGTTATGTCAGCACGATAGAAAACGATAGTTTTGCTCGTGAGGATCAATTTTAAATGTCCAATTGATTTATTTTGTTTGGAATCTTGGCCCGCTTTCAATAAAAAATAAATTTTTGTGTTTCGAATCTTTTTCTTCATGTCCTTTAATAATTGTACTACTCTGTCCCAATCATCTAAACTATCTATATTAACAAAATGGGTAAAGTACAAAAAACTACCTCAACTATTGGGGTTACGACAGTTTCATACCTCATCTTTTTACACACTGACATTGTAATACCGCATTCTTACGATTTGTGAAAATGTCATACATCCGTCAATTTTCTCATGGTTGTTTTTCTGTTAAGTACTGACGTGACAAGAGAAAGGGACCACTCACTAATCAGCTGGATATTTAAAACACTAATTTAAACTATATTTTTAATAATTAAATATTAACAACAAATTAAGAATAAAAAACAAAACAAAAAAAATTTACTAAGGATGACGCATACCTTCCCCGCTCCTTATTTTCTCCGTATCTTCCATTCTTCTGGTTTTTTTTTTTTTTTTTGGGGGGTTTTTGCAGTTTCCATTTTTTATTATTTTTCTTTCCTACTCCTCTTACTTCCTCCTTCTTCTTCTTCGGTTCTTCCTCATTCTCCTGGGAGGGGTGTGGGCCGGGCGGGTGGGCGTTGGTTTACAAATTTCTTTTTTTTTCTTCCTCCTCCCTCTTTCCTCCTTCTCTCTTCAGTTCTTCTCCTTCTCCTGGGGGGGGGTGGGGTTGGTTTTCAATTTTTTTTTTTCCTCCTCCTCTTCTTCCTCCTTCTTCTTCTTCGGTTCTTCCTCCTTCTCCCTGGGGGGGGGTGTGGGTGGGGTTGGGTTTTCAAATTTGTTTTTTTTCGTGTTAGAGATAGCAGAAGAAGATGAAGATAGGAAGAGAGAGAGGGGAGGGAAGGGACGACTAAGGTTTTTTTTTTTTTTTTTTTTTTTTTTTTAAATTTTACTTTTATTTATTATTTTAATATTAAAAAATATTAATATTTTTTTAGTTTTTATAATATTTTATTACATTTTTAATAGAAAGTGGTCCCAGTCTCTTGCCACGTCAGCACTTAATAGAAAAATTGACGGAGGTATGACATTGTCACAAATTCGTAAGATACGGTATGACATTGTCAATTTTAAAAGATGAGGTATGAAACTGTCGTGACCCCAATAATTGAGGTAGTTTTTTGTACTTTACCCTAACAAAATCATCTTTGTTAACTAAAAGAGGGTGAAAATATCAAAGTAACCATGTAAACAAATAAAGAGAAATAACAAAAATAAAAGTTATGGGCAATATAGTGAACTAAACACAAAATAATTTTACTTTTTTTTTTTCAAAGCATCAAAGCCAATTGCCCCCATTTTCTCTTTCATGGTTTTCTCTCAATTTAAAATAAACTTTTAGTGACGAAATAGTAATTTAAAAATAATCTCTAAAGACATAAATAGCTTGTTCACGACGAAAAACCATTCGAAGATTGTTACCAAAAAAAACTTTACCAATTATTTTATATTTTCTCTTTGTTTTTTCTTTTTCAAAATTTTAATAAACACAAGCGTGTACAATCGCTAGTAAAAGATAATTACAACACTAGTAGGCA